GAGAGTTTTGTACAGGCATAGGGAAGGGATTATCCTGTTTGTGGGAGTGTCAGAGGCATGCTTAACTGTGTCCGAAATTGTATAAAAGCAGGCCATCTGGCCAGATTAAAACATTCCAGCTTGTACTCCCAGAACTGTGTCATCTGGTTACTGGGAGGGGAAAAGGCTGATCACTAATCACTGTTCCAGTGTGGAGGATTCAACGGGGAAAGGCCTTGTAAGGAATAGAGCTCTCAGGACTGAGTGTCATCCAGTGCCTGGGAGTGGATAGAGAGTTCCCAATTTGGCTCCAGGACAGAGTGGTTCCAGGACCCCAGTCAAGTCACGGCGACTGGTGGCAGGAGTGCTGCGGTTTGTCCCCTGTTCCAGCTAGGAAGCGGTCCTTGGCGGAGGTACCCAGTCAGGGGTACAGGGAGCTCCGTTACACCACCCTTATATCACCTTGCTGTAAACTGAGGATACACTTCCACTGGGAAACAAAGATTTATTGGAACATTAATGTTTCTTTCTTTTTTTGTATTTTAATGGGTTTTCTATATTTCTGCCTCCTACTTTGCAGCCCTGGAGCTCTCTGCACTGAGCTCACCTGGTGGTGCAGGGAGGCAAAAATGCCAGTACAAATATCCTGGTATCTTGTTGAGCAATTCAGGCCCTGCAACAGAGGGTAATATAACTGTTACAGCAAGTTTGGAGGTGGAGAGCTTACTAGCCAATAGAAACATTTGCCTGTCTGCCAAAGATGTGTGTGTTCTATAAGTATAACCACACAAACACATCTTTATATATAAGTATATCACACACTCACTTAATCCTGAAGACATTTACCCACTGAGCTGTGCAACTGCATGTGTTGACTCCATGGGAACCATACTCATTAGTCCCCAGGCATATCAAATTGCACTGGGCCCATGTCCAAAAGAGCATTTATACATACACAAACACATATTAGAGTGTCTGTAGTTTGCATAAATGTATGTTTATGAATATTCATCCATCACCCTTTCTGACAGGCAAATTTTATATTTATAGAATATGTAGGATGGTTATGGTGTACGGAGAGGACTGTAGCATATGTTGGAAGAACGTGGAATGTGACACCCTTGCAACCTTTCCATTTCCAAAAACCCAAGTTTGCATTTCGACTAAGAAAAACAATAAAAATTAGCCTATAGCTGACTGTCATATTATTTTCTGAATATTCCTCTTTTGTAATATCATTTCTTTACTAGGGCCCAGGGCTGCCATCAGAAATTTTGGGGCCCCTGACAGAGCTCAAGTCTGGACCCCCGGGGGCTTGCTCCCGAGTCCGCCCACAGGTCTGCCCCCCCAAGTCCGCCCACAGGGATGCAGTGTGTACTGATTGTGGTGTGTGTGTATAGTGGATGTAGAATGTGTGTAGTGTATGCAGAGTGCATGTGTAAAGTGGATGTGGTGTGTGTAATGGATGCAGTGTGTATAGTTAATGCAGATTGTACATTTGTGTTATGTATGAGGTGTATATTAGATGCAGTGTGTGTGTATGTGTAGTAGGTATAGTGTGTGTGTATAGTGCAGAATGTGTTTGTGTAGTGGATGCAGTGTTTTGTGTATTAGATGCAGTGTGTATAGTGCATGAAGACTGTGTGTTTGTGCAGTGGATGTAGTGTGTGTATAGTGAATGCAGAGTATGTGTGTGTTTGTGTGTATAAGATGCAGTGTGTGTGTATAGTGAATGCAGAGTGTGTGTTTGTGTAATGGATGTAGTGTTTGTGTGTATTCGATGCAGTGTGTATAGTGAATGCCAAGTGTTCGTTTGTGTAGTGGTGTGTGTAGTGACTGCAGAGTGTGTGTTTGTGTA